CATTTCAACTTTGTTGATATATCAAATTATTAAATTTGTTAGCGTGCTTTGTTTGATTTCTATTCCGTGACTAGCGAATATCCGCTCGAAGTTAGCTACACAAAGCATTGTTCATTTCTATTTCTTTTACGACAAAGTGTAAGAACTAAATTCGCCTTCTACTAGCACGTAGTTCAGTTGCGAGGAGTCATTGTAGCGAAACTATTTCGGAGCCGAACGGAGTTTAGGAGTTCTCTACCCCGGAGTCAAGATTCGATGTAAGTTACACTTGTAATATTCCTCATTTTTATCATTTCAAGTTTCACCCTATTCGTTTATTCGTAGCCTTTCGGTTTCATTATATCGAACCTTCATGTATCCATTCTATAGTTTTTACCGCCTGTGCTGTACAAAGACTGCCAGCTTAAGTGAATAAAGAGTTTGATGCTCCTACTTGTCAAAAGTTTATCACTGTGGTTATACTGGCGAACTCCGGTGCACAACACCACGTGTCTGCGACATGGAGAACGCGACAGAAACTGTGGTGCTGCATTGATGAGGGTACGAAAACATAATTTGGTTTCATCAGTAGCCCGCTTGTAGCCTATCCCTTCTCCTTTTGTTTATGCCGGCAAGGGTACGGGGGATAAATTATCACGCGCATCAACTATTGATGCCTTTTTTTCGCTCTGACAAAGGACTAACGCCCGAAACATCAGCTTAGAAACTGTTCACGGTGGCCAGTTTACATTTTCAACCCAGTTAAAATCAATCTATCTCAGTTTACCTCACGTTGATTCTTAGAAGTCTTGGAAATTCTAGACGTCTATACTCCATTATGCTTAAGGGACTCCTAGGAAGGCTTTGAGAAGAATATGGAAGTTTTCGCTTTACATTCTTGGAACATTTCACTTTTTGTAACCTGCAACTATGAGAGCAAATTCTCAAAAGCCCTCTCCAGAAAATCAGGCATTTCACGAACTTTATCAGATGTAGTTGATATTTAGTTGATTAATTCGAAATTTCCATCGCGTGATAGTTGATGTAGGTGAAGCCTAAATCAACCAGCGCCGATTAGTGAATGAAACTCTTCTTGTTTGAATCTACAAGTCGCCCAAAACTGAACTACAACGAGGGTTCATGATTTTGTTTAATTTGGCCACAACCGCACTCTGTTGAGCTAATCGGCTTCCTCACCACTCAAATAACAAAATATGTAGCCGTGCGTCTGTTCAGTAATAGAGAGATTTAGCACCTCGTCTACGTGAAACGACAAACGTCAGCTTACCTTTTCATGTTTTACGTAAACTCGCGTGAACGTTACTGCTTTAGCTTCGCATGAGCTCACGTCACGGTATATTTGAATAGTGTTGCCGCCTTTTTTCCGGAAATTAACTTCTACTCTGTGTGAGAAAAAGAGGAAAAAATATGACGTACATGGCAAAGGCGAAACAGGTGCAAAGCGCAAGGGGCAAACGTGCAGGAGAATATGGCGGGAAAAACAAGGTCACGTGGTAACTCTTCCCGTTCACCTTTCATAGATCACAGATGACGTCAAAAGTGTTAAAAATTAAACAGTCAAGTTTTTAAAACAACGAGTATGTTTGCCCTTACTTGATTAGTTACCTATTCATTGGTTCTTTTCCTAACTAAGTCAACAAAAACACATTTTGATTAGTTGTTAATATACTGTTAACGTTGGCCAGAGCCCACACCCTCCCCCCTCCCCCCCTACCCCTCGTAAATAAAATATGATCGAAAATGGCTTGAAGTCAGTGCCGGCTTCTTCTGTAACCAAAGCAACCACTTAAAGTCGAAGTTTATTAAGAAGTTCACGGTTACCTGTTTTCATAAGTCATTAAATGGCAATTCTCTTTTTATTTTCAGCAGAGGAAGACCCCATGGAAAGAACGTATAACGACATACTATTAACTGCTATTGGCAATAATTTCCCTCACTATACCAAACTTATTGTTGTTATTAGGAACAGTGAAGGAAATGTAATTTTTTTGGACGATTATGTCAATTCATCGTCGCAACATGCAGAAGTTGTAATGCTCTCCAATTTTGAGTCTGATGGTGAACTCTCAACTGACCTTTTCTCTATCACTCTGACCATCAACTACTCACCCTGTAGCGACTGCGCAGCAAAGTTGATATCATTTTACGAAGAGAACAAATACAGGATAGACAATTTTACCATTCGATGTTCAACTTTATACAGAATAAAGGAAAACAGAAGTGGCCTAAAGGATCTAATCAACGCAGGTATTGATTTGGAAGCAATGAATGAAGACTATTGGGAAGAGTTAGCCGACTTAACCAACGTAGAGTCCCAAAAGTATCACCAGTACGAGGAAAAAATTGACGAAAGAGACCTAAACACGTCAAGTCACCTGCGAAAATTGCAGCAGGAAATTGACGAGGACAAAAGTACCGATGAGCAATCTACACATGAAGAATTTACAGATGAGGATGGACTAGCTGCAGGCTTCGAGAGTTTGAACTTAACTGACGATTAACATGCTGAAACATCGTACAACTATCGATAAATAAATAATCTTCTTTGATGAGCTCTAATTATAATCGATGAGTTGTAAGGGACATGACACCACTAGGTGCATCACTTCGTTCAATGCCGCTGGCTTTTTTTTTTTAAAAAAAAACTTTCATTTTTATGATCAGTTTGAAATTGTGCTTGATACAATCATGTCCGGAAGACTTTTGGTTTCTGTTTCGTTTCTCTCGTAGATCTTTCATCATTAGATGTCAAGTCAATAGTCAAGTCAATAAGAGCTTTGCAGTTCTATCATACTGACTCATCAACAATGTCATTCTTTAAAAAAAAAAAAAAAAAAAGTTTGCAACTTGTCACTTACGATAGGTGATTCTGTAATAGTAATCGAAAATTAAAAAGTAACTTTGCATTTCGAGAGAAAGTTGTAGCACAAGATAAAGTTGAATTAGTAAGTTCTCAGTGGGTTTTGAATTCTCTGGTTTCACAACGTTAACGGAGGTTTTGGCGAGTTGCATGGAACATGATTACAGGCATGGGATTATAAACTGTCTATAATCTCTTGTTACAAGGTAAGGTTTGCGTGAATGATAGAATCAGTCTAAGTTCTGATTCCTCACTCGAGGATGGAGAGAATTAGAACTTGGGTAAACTTTGACTTTACTTAGGATAGTAGATTCCATTTATGTCACGATTGAGTACTAAGAGGTGTCGTTACAGCGGTAACGCTATGTAACGCAATATACTGCAATAAGAGTTGGTCAGGTTAACTTCGAATAACTTTTCATGATGATTAAAAAAATCCTCAATATTTCGTTTTTCATGTTTGCGGAGTTTGAACAGCGTAAAGTAGTATACCTGAGACAGCTGATGTTGTTAAAACAGTAACGGGGTAAATAGTGTTGCTTGAAGTCGGCGAATTTTCAACAAGTAAGCTGAAAAGTTCTTAAAAAGGTTTCTCGTTCTCTTTCCTCTTTTCTTTTCTTTCACCTTAATAAATAGCTTTATAAGAGGACTGCTTGTTATCATAGTAAATTTAAAATTTATTTGCATTTATACTTAGGTTCTTTTGCTATTACTTTTTAAGTTTTTTTTCATTTAATTTTAACTTGTATTTAATTTTAAGTTTTTTCCTTTTTCTTTTAGTTTTTCTTTCTTTTTATTTTTAATGTTTTATTTTTAACTGAAGTTTTTTATCTGTTCTTAATATTTTTATTCAATAAAATGATGTGGTTATTTTTAATTCATTTATTTCGTTCTTATTTTTGATCTCTGTGTTTTCGATGGTTTTTTTTTAACTCTTGTTTGTTCTTTGATTATTTTTATTTTTTTTTATTATTATTTTATATTTTTTTAAATAAAAGAAGCATTTCTAACTGATTTTTCTATGATAACAATGGGCCACCATAGTCCAGTTTATCAGTATTGGGTGAAAGTAAACAAACAGATATTCTTTTGCATTGCCATATTCTCAATTGATTCAAGATTTAAAGGAAAACTCCTTCATTTAATGAAGAAAATAGAAATAGCAACACAACAACGCGCCAATTCCGTTCCGCTTCGCATACTTCTTTCACGCACTCCCCGTAAATAAAACTCCGCGAAATTCGCCCGCATTGAAATAATAGTTTGGCGTGTTGGATAATAAATAACTTAGTACAATGAAATAGATGAAGTTCATATATTTTGAGCTGCGGTATTAGATACGTATGATGCACGATCCTCGCAGTAGATAGCGCTATTTAAGCAATAGCGAAAATCAGACCTGAAAAAAAATCAGGCCTG